GAGAGAGGGGGTAAAGGAGGTTTTGTGGGCAAGGGGCTTGGACTTCCAGCAAGCGTGTGTGAGCGTGTTAGATAGGAGTGAATGGAGACGAATGGTACTTGGGACCTGACGATCTGTTGGAGTGTGAGCAGGGTAATATTTAGTGAAGGGATTCAGGGAAACCGGTTATTTTCATATAGTCGGACTTGAGTCCTGGAAATGGGAGGTACAATGCCTGCACTTTAAAGGGGGGGTTTGGGATATTGGCAGTTTGGAGGGATATGTTGTGTATCTTTATATGTGTATGCTTCTAGACTGTTGTATTCTGAGCACCTCTGCAAAAACAGTGATAATGTGCGAGTATGGTGAAAGTGTTGAATGATGATGAAAGTATTTTCTTTTTGGGGATTTTGTTTCTTTTTTGGGTCACCCTGCCTCGGTGGGAGACGGCCGACTTGTTGAAAAAAAAAAAAAAAACGAGTACAGATACTCGTTTTTTCACTAAGCAGATACTCCTCTATAGAGAGGCTACCTGATGCAGGCAAGTGAATTTTGATCTAAGGAAATGTATCTTTTCTTCCTTTCTTTGGATCAAACCTGATTGCTTCCCATTAACTTGGCATGGTATGACCCCTACGAGTTTACTGCCCCCCCCCCAGATAAAACAATAATTAAGTGGATGATACTCAGCAGGTTATCAAATGACAATCATCATCATCAAAAGATTCTCCCTGATGAAAAATACCATCACTACCACCATCACATTTTAGACTTACATTTTTTCATATTATAACCAACAGCACACTGCATAAAATGAGCTTTTGTACTGTAACTGTGCTACAATAAATTTTAAAAGGAATCCAAACCATATATAGCAAAAATTATTTATATTGTCAAACATAAATACATTCTGTATTTTTCTTAATGGTTTTGTTAAATACAGTGAATACAGTATAATTTTCTAAAAACATAACTGTGCCATCCCAATTAATTATTTTAAATACAGTGGACCCCCGGTTAACGATATTTTTTCACTCCATAAGTATGTTCAGGTGCCAGTACGGACTGAATTTATTCCCATAAGGAATATTGTGAAGTAGATTAGTCCATTTCAGACCCCCAAACATACACGTACAAACGCACTTACATAAATACACTTACATAATTGGTCGCATTCGGAGGTAATCGTTATGCGGGGGTCCACTGTACAATATACAGCAGTAGTAGTAATTGATTTATTGTAAAAATGCCTTCTATATATGTAGTATGCTTTGTCTAGCTATACCATAAAAATAGATTTTGAGAAGAATATCAAACTGAAGAGTTTATGCACACTTAACTATTAGTCCTTGAAATAAATAAATGCAAAATAATGCCCACCATCCATACCTAGTCAACAAAATCACACAACTTTTACGATAAAAGTACAGTGGTACCCTGAATTTCGAACTTATTTCATTCCAGAATGCTGTTCGAGTGCCAATACCAAATGAATTTGTTGCCATAAGGAATAATGTAAATTAGATTAGTCGGTTTCAAGCCCACAAAAATACACTTACAAACACACTTACACAAATGCATTTACATAACTGTTCGAGTTGGGAGCTGTTCAAAACTCGGGGTACCACTGTATATACTATACAATACAATGTCTTAATATAATGTTTCACATTATATAAGGACATATTAAGACATCCAAATCTTAATATAGTGCATATGAGATTTAAATTACCAGTGACAAATATTAACTTGATGCCACTATAATATTTCTGGCATCCATAGCACTTAACTATAAAATGTTCACCTCACCCTATCACTCAAAAACATAACACAAATCATGACAAATCTTTCATAGGATACAAAGGCATGCTGCTGACAGTAATGAAGAAAAGACACAAGTACAAATTAAGTTTTTATTACAGTTTCACTCTAGGAAGAGTGAAATACTGTTATGTCTCTATTTGTCCTAAACTATTATTGAATCATATTTGAGCAATAAAAAAAACAGAAAACCAGAAAACAGGATGGGAGGAGGGAGAGGAAAGAAGGGAATAGTAGTACAGGAAATAATAATAGTTAGTTATTTGTTGTAGTAGTAGTATCTTCACTGTGTCCTTCCTTCATTCAAATCACTCAATTCTAATATAGAAGCACATTTATTTATTTCTTAAATTTTATGCTTACAAAATATACTATGAATATATTGCAACGCTGTATAACCCTTACAGGTTAAGCGCTTAATTTGATTATAATAATAATATGAATATATTAAGGATGACTGTATAGTATTACCATACTGAATTATAATAATAATTCAAACTCTACTTTTATGTATTTCAAAGTAATATTTTGTGCTGAAAGGAATTAACAGTTCACATTATTTTAAACTGTGAAAAATTAAGCACCCACAATTCCTGAAGATATTAATCAGTGTAAGATTTATTGCTCCACCAAAAAATAATGACACCACTGAAGAGTCATTTTCCCAGTGGTGCTTCTTTTAAAAAAAAAACACTGACGTGATCTTTCAAACATGAAACACACTGAAAAATATTATGAAGATTATATGAGGATCATTGTATAGAGAGATCTCAGAGAAAAAAAATATCACACACATTTATCCTCGGTTCCTTCACATTAAGTTAAAACACATTGCAAATATTGTGATAAAAAAAAATCATGGAATAAATTGTAATAGTCTTGTGGAGCTACCATCATAAATCACTATAGAGAAGAAACATTCACATAAAGTAAATTTTTTTTAAGCCTCTCAGCTGTATTGCAGATTAACCATATAATGTTGTTGATTCAGTATGTGTTGCACAATAATTTATTCCTTGGGAACATTGATGAAAACCAAAAAATATTTTAATGGAATACAATCAGAGATTATATAACCTAAGTTCTACAACTTGCATGTCAGGATTCAAGATTTAGAACAAATTTTCCTCCATGAGGAAAAAAAATAAATATGATTAAAAGCCATGATATTTACAATAAGAAAGAAGTAATACCACACCTTTAATTATCACTCAGATGTTACATCTTACAAGGTGTTCAAAAAAGATACTTAACTCATTTGAAAATAAATGTACAATAAGGCACTGCAGACATCACTGAGAAAAAAAAAAATGCATCAATTGTCTCTAATACTGCCATTGGTTTATGTAATGATACACACACCATTCACTGCTGGATAACACAATGTGTTTCATGAGCATATCAAGTCACTAAACCATTACTTAAAATGGATGTGACTAACATGGTCTTGCAGTTATAATTAATGTACCTCTTTGATTATATAAGGAATGAAGTTTAGTAACAGCTTCAGTGCTTTATTGTACAGAATATATATTCTCTAATGAGCTGCATTTTTTAAATACACTACACAATGTGGATTTTAGATCCAACTCTGTACAAAGGCGAGTTCAAGCAACCTGTATATACCACAGATTGAAGAATTGAGACACTTATGCAACATATGGGAATCTTTATAGGAGAAACGTTTTGCCACACAGTGGCTTCATCGCTACCGTGTGGCGAAACGTTTCTTCTATAAAGATTCCCATATGTTGCATAAGTATCTCAATTCTTCAACTTGTCAGTTTTCAAAATCCTTCATCACATACCACAGATTACCAAATCTGCATTACATTCTTTAATGATACATTATTTAAGCCTAAGTATCTTTCCTGTGGGAGCAAGGGGCTAGTAACCCCTTCTCCTGTATATATTACTAAATTTGAAAGGAGAAACTTTCGTTTTTCCTTTTGGGCCACCCCGCCTCGGTGGGATACGGCCGGTGTGTTGAGAGAAGAAGAAAGATCTTTCCTGTGTAAATACTGCATATAAAGCTCACAATGACAGACTTATGACAAAATAAAAGAACTGATGAAAGTAATTTACAGTATAACTATAGCAAACAATCTACAGTATAAGAGCTGTAGAAAGTTACAGAACAATATAAATAAAAATTAAAATGCTCTATTAAACTTTATATTCCTAACAAAATAAAATAACAGTTTCCCAAAAATAAGATAAATTATTACAAGGCTTAAAGATGATATGATAATCACTTTAGTGTTACTGGGGAAAAAATAAATAAATATCCTAAACAATACTCTCAATATTTTGCACAATTTTAATTAAACTTTTAGACATACACAAAAATTTACACCTGCAGGGATAGAATATAGTAGCATGAACCTCATGATTTTGCCCTCATTAATTCCATCTACAAATTGTCATGACTATCAATGCATTACACAACTTGTACAGCTGAAATTAAGACATGTGCAACATCTGGGTATCTTTATTGTAGACGTTTTGCCATCCAGTGGCTTTATCAATACAAATTCCAGGACATAACTTGAAGACAGTAGAACTATGTACAGAAGATGAGGTAATCAGTCCCTCAACCTAGGAGTAGGTGCGAAGAGCACCGTAGTCGTGGAGATTCTGAAGCAGAAGCAAGGCACCTGATGCTTATATACTAACATCAGGTGGAATGGGACGTGTAGCAGACGAGGGCATAGTCACTGGTAGGCAGGATTCCCCAGTGGAAGTGGGTCCTACCCAAAGAGATGGGTTAGATGTAGAAGTAGTTGTCGTAGTCGTGAAGGTTATGTACATGTCCTCAGAATCAAGATTCCATGATGTTGCAGTGTCTGACAAGTTGTACAAGAATGGTATACAATACCAACAAGATGAAATTAAGACCATTCTTGTACAACTTGTCAGACACTGCAACATCATGGAATCTTGATTCTGAGGACATGTACATAACCTTCACGACTACGACAACTACTTCTACATCTAACCCCTCTCTTTGGGTAGGATCTACTTCCACTGGGGAATCCCGCCTACCAGTGACTATGCCCTTGTCTGCTACACATCCCATTCCACCTGACGTTAGTATATAAGCGTCAGGCGCCTTGCTTCTGCTTCAGAATCTCCACGACTATGGTGCTCTTTACACCTACTCCTAGGTTGAGGGACTGATTACCTCATCTTCTGTACACAGTTCTACTATCTTCAAGTTATGTCCTGGAATTTGTATTGATAAAGCCACTGGATGGCGAAATGTCTACAATAAAGATACCCAGATGTTGCATGTGTCTTAATTTCAATGTCTACAATAAAGATACCCAGATGTTGCATGTGTCTTAATTTCATCTTGTTGGTATTGTATACCATTCTTGTACAACTTGTACAGCTGTCATTCTTAACACTGCACTTGCTATTTCTCACATGGGCATAGAGGCTACCATGACTAACACACTTACCCCTGAGGGCAGACAAGAAAACACATGAATATGTACACACTAGATAGCAGAGCAGCTCTCTACAAAGCAAAGGGAAGCTATACACACATTTTAAGTAATACAAATAGTTGAGTGACTGCCTTTTATTAACAAGTAAAAATTGTGTCATGCATGCATTAGTACATTCAAAATAGACTTTTGAAGATCCTCTAAGAGACCTTTCATGAAAAGATATATACAAAAGCTGTGATCATCTTCAGCTAATAAAGGAATACATGGTCTTATTGAGCAACACCATTCTGGTAATTTTACTACATAACATGAAAAGTATACAAACTGAAAAAAAAAAAAAAAAAGTAATTTGTACATCTAAACTTTTCAACTTTTCCAAATATTTAGGAAAACTAATTAAGAGAAAATAATAAATTATTAATAGTAAAACACAAACACGCAAATTCATGCACACATTATAGTGTGTGTGTGTGTGTGTGTGTGCATGCACTCACCTATATGTGGTTATAGGGGTCGAGTCACAGTTCCTGGCCCTGCCCATTAACCCTACCTTGACTGGTGCACCTGGTTCCTAACCTCTTGCTATTATTAATAGTTCATTTTAAATCCAAATATGGAATTTGGTACCACCTTCTCTCTGTCTAGGTGCCTGTTTGGCTGACTGTATTTTGTGTGTACTTCAGGAAGCAATTTGGGGTATGTGCACTTCAAGGAACAGACTTGGGATATGTGCACTTCAGGGAACAAGACTTGGGGGTATGTGCACTTCAAGGAACAGACTTGGGATATGTGCACTTCAGGGAACAAGACTTGGGATGTGTGTACTTCAAGGAACAAGACTTGGGGTATGTGCACTTCAAGGAACAAGACTTGGGGTATGTGCACTTCAGGGAACAAGACTTGGGATATGTGTACTTCAAGGAACAGACTTGGGGTAAAGGGTTATTCCAGGGCCTTTCTCATAAACTGTTTGTATGAGCTTTGGTATTTGTGCAAACTTGTGCATGCATGTGAGAGAGATAAAACTTAAAAAAAAAAAAATTAATACCTAGGAAGAAATCAGTTGCTTCAAAATTATTCTTCAGTTGATAGCTATCAGTAATATATTGATCTAAAAATTACATTAAATAAAGTTGTAAGGTTTAAAGACCATCAAGAAATGGTTTAATATGCTTTAAAAGTATGAAATTGCACCAGTTATACTTTAACAACCTTCAGATATGTCACTGTCTTCAAGGGGTTAATGCTCTACTGTTCCTCACTGTTTTAAGGCACTACACTCAGCAGTGATACTTTTGAACAAGAGCGCAACTGACTTAGGCATAGCACTGATAACTAGATACACACAAAATTTGTCTACAAACACTCTGATACCAGGTACAATGGCATATCCCAGTTTTTCATCAATCACTGCACTTTTTTTAATGACAGCACTGCCTAACCACAAATGTACACCTGCCACACAAGCAACAAGAACTGTCAAGGTATCTTAATCATGTTGGATACATTTTTTTATTAAATTCACAATTGTCATGTAGCCTATGGTACTACATAGTAGTGGTAAAATCACTAATGAACAAAACAAAAAATTTGGTATACAATTATTACAGTGTGTGTTAAGGATAGAAATGTTCAGCACACTCATCTGGACTTGTTGATCTTTGCCTATGATGTGTTAAAGTCAACATGTATCTAAGTATGAGACTAATAGTTAGTCCATTTTGATGTTTCGATAGATATACTTGACAAATGCAAGTGATGCAAAGAAAGACACAGTGCCCAGGGTGAGAAAGAAGACGTAACAGGTGAGAAGTGACCAACCAATAAACTCAATGGTCTGTAGTCCACCAGACATGTTGGATCGTTTCAGGTAGTAGAACAGACAATACATCAGGACAAAACCCCCGGTTGATCTGTTGAGAAAATTAACAATTATTAATGAAGAAATACTTGCTTATTTTGCTCATATTAGTAAAGGCAGATATCCACATACTGTATGTACAGTGCATACTATATAATCTATTTTTTTTTTTTTTTTATTATCACACTGGTCGATTCCCACCAAGGCAGGGTGGCCCGAAAAAGAAAAACTTTCACCATCATTCACTCCATCACTGTCTTGCCAGAAGGGTGCTTTACACTACAGTTTTTAAACTGCAACATTAACACCCCTCCTTCAGAGTGCAGGCACTGTACTTCCCATCTCCAGGACTCAAGTCCGGCCTGCCGGTTTCCCTGAATCCCTTCATAAATGTTACTTTGCTCACACTCCAACAGCACGTCAAGTATTAAAAACCATTTGTCTCCATTCACTCCTATCAAACACGCTCACGCATGCCTGCTGGAAGTCCAAGCCCCTCGCACACAAAACCTCCTTTACCCCCTCTATATTAACAAATATTTTTTTTTAATACACAGGCCATCTCCCACCAAGGCAGGGTGAACCAAAAAAGAAACACTTTTGCCATCATTCACACATAATCACTATCTTTGCAAAGGCACTCAGATATGGCAGTTTAGATGTCACTCCAAACAGCAAATATCCCAAACCCCTCCTTTAAAGTGCAGGCATTACACTTCCCACCTCCAAGACTCAAGTCCAGCTAACAAAATACCCGAGTTATAAATTTCTAATTGTTAAAAAAGTAGTAATTTAAGAGAAAAATCTATAACAGTTGTTTCTTACAAGAAAATTTAAGCACAATACTAAATTCAAACATTTCACTGTTTTCCCCAAGACCACAAGTAAAACTTTCAAACAAAAACATTAACAATGAGAGAAAATTTATTCTTCTCTTGACATTAATTTGTCAATTTCCTTGGCAACAATTTAAAAGATGTCAATTTTAGTGCCAATGCTAAAAACAAATCTGTTTTTCCTTAACCAGTGTGATCTTCACGTAACAAAACATCTATCAATAACCAAAACTTTATTCTATATGACCAGCAATCATACGTGTGTGCCAGCTGACTAATTAGCCAATAAAAATCTGAACTCCTTATACAAAATAAACAAGATTTTTCAGGGACAGGACCCCTGCAACCACAAATAAGTGAGCACAAAAAGGTGTTGATTTCAGGGCTGCCTTAACTCAGAAATAATAAGTGATAACAAATATCAACATAAAACATGATGATAAATAATAATCTTGCAACTACACCTAATTTCTATATTTTTTTTTCAAAAGAGGCAAACAAGCATTTATAGGTGCACTGGTTACCCGAGACTGTGTGCTCTCAAATATAAACAAAGTACACTGACCTGTGCTCCCCCAACACTCTTTAGATCTTTCACATATCTAACACACTCACACATTCATTCAATTACAGTAGGACCCCGTATCTGCGGGGGGATGAATTACAAGGACCTGCCATTAATGCCAAAACTGTGGATAGTAGCTAACCTTATACAGTGGACCCTCGGGTAACAGCGGCTTTGGCTAATGCCAAAATCGGCTAATGGCTCGCTTTGGCGTAAAAATATTGGCTCAGCTAATGCCAAGTAACTCGGCTAAGGGCTTTCGCCCCGAACGTGTCCGTGTGGCCTGAGCGGGCACGGCCACTCCATGACTCCGTGTACAGCCAGTGTACCATTGTTTACAAGCCAGGGAGGACAATTCCACGCATACAAGCAATATATTTAGTATTATTCCATAGTTTTTAGTGCTTGTAACTGCTAAGTAAGCCACCATGGGCCCAAAGAAAGCTTCTAGTGCTAGCCCTGTGATAAAGAAGGAAAGAAACACAATAAAATTAAAGAAAAAGCTTGTAGCAAAGTACCAAAGTGGAGGAGGAAGAGAGAGAGGAGAACGTGCCTTCTGCAGTGATTCAGTGATTCTACGATATGTACGAAACTAAAGCAGCAGGTATCGATAAAGGCTATAGTGCCAGCCAGCGATAAAGTGTACAATTAACAGTGTAGCAAGTAAGTTAAGTGAGTAAGTGATAGAAAAACATGAAAGTAACTCTCCAATGTTGTTGAATGTGTACTGGGCCGCTGAACATACACCGCCCTGCTACGTATCTTCCACCACTCTAAACCTCTGCCAGCATCTCCATCAAACTAACTAATTAAACTAACATCTCCAAGGTAAGTGCAAATATAAAAGTGTAAGTATAAAAGTAAATATAAGTGTAAATATAAAAGGACCCCAATGGAAATATGTAAGTCACTGACTTTTTTGGGTTATCATAGTTTTTTTTTTTTCAACAAGTCGGTCGTCTCCCACCGAGGCAGGGTGACCCAAAAAGAAAGAAAATCCCCAAAAAGAAAATACTTTCATCATTCAACACTTTCACCTCACTCACACATAATCACTGTTTTTACAGAGGTGCTCATAACACAACAGTTTAGAAGCATATACGTATAAAGATGCACAACATATCCCTCCAAACTGCTAATATCCCAAAACCCCTCCTTTAGAGTGCAGGCATTGTACTTCCCATTTCCAGGACTCTAGTCCGGCTATATAAAAATAACCAGTTTCCCTGAATCCCTTCACTAAATATTACCCTGCTCACACTCCAACAGATCGTCAGGTCCCAAACACCATTCGTCTCCTTTCACTCCTATTGAACAAGCACATGCATGCCTGCTGGAAGTCCAAGCCCCTCGCCCACAAAACCTCCCTTACCCCTTCCTTCCAACCTTTTCGAGGATAACCCCTACCCTGCCTTCCTTCTCCTACAGATTTAAATGCTCTCCATGTCATTCTACTTTGATCCATTCTCTCTAAATGACCAAACCACCTCAACAACCCCTCTTCAGCCCTCTGACTAATACTTTTATTAACTCCACACCTTCTCCTAATTTCCACACTCTGAATTTTCTGCATAATATTTACACCACACATTGCCCTTAGACAGGACATCTCCACTGCCTCCAACCGCCTCCTTGCTGCTGCATTCACAACCCAAGCTTCACACCCATATAAGAGTGTTGATACTACTATACTTTCATACATTCCCTTCTTTGCCTACATAGATAACGCTTTTTGACTTCACATATACCTCAACGCACCACTCACCTTTTTTCCCTCATCAATTCTATGATTAACCTCATCCTTCGTAAATCCATCCGCCGACACGTCAACTCCCAAGTATCTGAAAACATTCACTTCTTCCATACTCCTCCTCTCCAATTTGATATCCAATTTTTCTTTATCTAAATCATTTGATACCCTCATCACTTTACTCTTTTCTATGTTCACTTTCAACTTTCTACCTTTACACACACTCCCAAACTCATCCACTAACCTTTGCAATTTTTCTTTAGAATCTCCCATAAGCACAGTATCATCAGCAAAAAGTAACTGTGTCAATTCCCATTTTGTATTTGATTCCCCATAATTTAATCCCACCCCTCTCCCGAACACCCTAGCATTTACTTCTTTTACGGCCCCATCTATAAATATATTAAACAACCATGGTGACATTACACATCCCTGTCTAAGGCCTACTTTTACCGGGAAGTAGTCTCCCTCTCTTCTACACACCGTAACCTGAGCCTCACTATCCTCATAAAAACTCTTTACAGCATTTAGTAACTTACCACCTATTCCATATACTTGCAACATCTGCCACATTGCTCCCCTATCCACTCTATCATATGCCTTTTCTAAATCTATAAATGCAATAAAAACTTCCCTACCTTTATCTAAATACTGTTCACATATATGCTTCAATGTAAACACTTGATCTACACATCCCTTACCAACTCTGAAACTCCTTGCTCATCCGCAATCCTACATTCTGTCTTACCTCTAATTCTTTCAATAATAACCCTACCGTACACTTTTCCTGGTATACTCAATAAACTTATTCTTCTATAATTTTTACAATCTCTTTTGTCCCCCTTCCCTTTATATAAAGGGACTATACATGCTCTCCGCCAATCCCTAGGTACCTTCCCCTCTTTCATACATTTATTAAACAAAAGTACCAACCACTCCAACACTATATCCCCCCCTGCTTTTAACATTTCTGTCATGATCCCATCAGTTTCAGCTGCTTTACCCCCTTTCGTTCTACGTAATGCCTCACGTACCTCCCCCACACTTACCTTCTACTCTTCTTCACTCCTAAAAGATGGTATACCTCCCTGGCCAGTGCATGAAATTACCGCCTCCCTTTCTTCCTCAACATTTAAAAGTTCCTCAAAATATTCTCGCCATCTACCTAATACCTCCCTCTCCCTATCTACTAACTCCCCTACTCTGTTTTTAATTGACAAATCCATATGTTCCCTAGGCTTTCTTAACTTGTTGAACTCGGTCCAAAATTTTTTCTTATTTTCATTAAAATTTCTTGACAGTGCCTCTCCCACTCTATCATCTGCTCTCCTTTTGCACTCTCTCACCACTCTCTTCACCTTTCTTTTACTCTCCATATACTCTGCTCTTCTTATAACACTTCTGCTTTGTAAAAACCTCTCATAAGCTAACTTTTTCTCTTTTATCACACCCTTTACTTCATCATTCCACCAATCACTCCTCTTTCCTCCTGCCCCCACCCTCCTATAACCACAAACTTCTGCCCCACATTCTAATACTGCATTTTTAAAACTCATCCAACCCTCTTCAACCCCCCCACTACTCATCTTTGCACTAGCCCACCTTTCTGCCAATAGTCGCTTATATCTCACCCGAACTTCCTCCTCCCTTAGTTTATACACTTTCATCTCCCTCTTACTTGTTGTTGCCACCTTCCTCTTTTCCCATCTACCTCTTACTCTAACTGTAGCTACAACTAAATAATGATCCTATATATCAGTTGCCCTTCTATAAACATGTACCTCCTGGAGCCTACCCATTAACCTTTTATCCACCAATACATAATCTAACAAACTACTTTCATTACATGTTACATCATACCTTGTATATTTATTTATCCTCTTTTTCATAAAATATGTATTCTGTATGTATATTTATATTTAATCTTCCAAAAAATATTTTTTGTTTATACTTTTGGCTGTCTGAAATGGATTAATTGAATTTCCATTACATATTTCTTATGGGGAAAATTAATTCGGCTAAAGGCTAAATCGGCTAAAGGCTAGCTCTCTGGAACGGATTAAAGGCATTACTCGAGGGTCCACTGTATATATATGTCCTATACATACCTATTACAAAGTTTACCTGATAAATTATGCCCACAGTAAGTGGAAAATTATCACTTCTTCACTGATATGAAGCACTTTACGGCTTCTCTTAGGCTTTGAAGAACTTCCACCATCATTAGTGTTGCACTCTGAGGCCATTATTAAGCAAAATTAAGGGGTTATTTTCAGGCCACAGTAAACTGCAGATAACTGAAACCTCAGATACCAGACCACAGATACAGGGGTCCTACTGTAAAATAATTTTTCATATTTGTGCAGGCCATCTTTACATTTGGAGTGCAGCAGTCTGCCTGCCTAAATTGCAAGTCTTTCAGGGCTCACTAAGCCTCCTGGTCGATAGCCACATCAGTAAGCTAATGTACAGCCATCAACCATAAATTTACTACCCACATTTCTTGAATACAGATGTCTTACCCAGCACTGAAGACTGATCTCCACCACCACCTGTAGTCTTCTGCTGCCAACTGGAAGTATGTCAGAGCAATGGAGACACATGCAGTGACACTCAGCAAGATAACAAAAACAACACCCAGTATACCATAGAGTGTATACTGCTCACGGCCCCACAGGGTTGAGAAAATGTAGTACATTTCCACACTGATAGCACTATGGTTCAAAAAAAAAAAAAATAGTGTTAACCACATGTTTATAAACTGTAGAAGACTATAGCAGTGTATTAAAATGCAACAGTAATTCATACCAAAATTATTCCAGCACTTGTGTATTACTGAGACTGAGCTATATAATGAGCTTCATTAAAATTTACCTGTATTTGTTCAAGGTTGATGAACTCAATGAATTCTTAATGAATGAATAGCATCTAAAGGGCTACAGAATACAGATGATGAATTATGAACAGCACACAATGCAATTTTTTAAATTAAGAAAGATTATATTTAGTACTAATTTGGGGGTTAGTTACATCCTCCATAAAACCCATAATTATGATAGCCTTTAGGAAATGAATAATAACACAAACTTCCTTGAGAGTAAGAGCTATCATACACACTACAACAGACTGACAGTAAACCAACATTTTGTTTCACAGAAAGGACTACTTAAAGAGTTTACCTAAATGGCAGAAATCCACCAACAGCAAAATGTGCCCAGTGGGAGCGGTACCACGGAACAGGAGGGATTTCACGTGCAATGTTCTTGGTGCGACAAGGAAAGTTGAACTCCGTCACACCATTTTTGCCTATGATACCTCCAAATACTGTCAGGGGATACCCAACTGAAAAAAAATATAGAATTGAAGAATACTCTAAATCAAATCAAATGAATAAAGGTAAAACTACTTATGTTCAGTTTTCCGTAAAAGAAAGTAACAGCAATAACTAAATATTCCAAAATATATAATTCAAGTTGAAATTTTATAAGCAAGTAAGTTTATTCAGGTATACACAAACACAGTTACATAGATTATCATACATAGCAGCATATGTGTAGAGAACCTAGAATAACCCAGTCAGACAGAGTGACTTATTTCCATTGGGGTCCTTTACCTCTTTGTATTAAGAACATTTTAGCATAAAAATTTAGAATTTGGCTAAAATTAATGAAAATCAAAGCATACATTTTGTTCAGTCAAAAACTAATTAATGTTCATTCCCTAATGTAAATCTTTCTTTTTTCAACAAACTGGCCATATCCCACTGAAGCAGGGTGCCCCAAAAAGAAAAACAAAAGTTTCTCTTTTTAGCTCTAGTAATGTATACAGGAAAAGGGGTTACTAGCCCCTTTCTCCCGGCATTTTAGTCGCCTCTTACGACACGCATGGCTTACGGGGGAATAATTCTGTTCCACTTCCCCATGGAGATAAGAGGAAATAAACAAGAACAAGAACTAGTAAGAAAATAAAAGAAAACCCAGAGGGGTATGTATATATACGCTTGTACATGCATGTGTAGTGTGACCTAAGTAGAAGTAGAAGTAGCAAGATGTACCTGAAATCTTGCATGTTTATGAGACAGAAACCTAATGTAAATCTTCTTCTTTCTTTCAACACACCGGCCGTATCCCACCGAGGCGGGGTGGCCCAAAAGAAAAAACCAAAGTTTTTCCTTTCAAATTTAGTAATATATACAGGAGAAGGGGTTACTAGCCCCTTGCTCCCGGCATTTTAGTCGCCTCTTACAACACGCATGGCCTACGGAGGAAGAATTCTGTTCCACTTCCCCATGGAGATAAGAGGAAATAAACAAGAACAAGAACTAGAAAGAAAATAGAAGAAAACCCAGAGGGGTATGTATATATACGCTTGTACATGTATGTGTAGTGTGACCTGAGTGTAAGTAGAAGTAGCAAGACGTACCTGAAATTTTGCATGTTCATGAGACAGAAAAAAGGACACCAGCAATCCTACCATCATGTAAAACAATTACAGGCTTTCGTTTTACACTCACTTGGCAGGACGGTAGTACCTCCCTGGGTGGTTGCTGTCTACCAACCTACTACCTAGGACCTAATGTAAATATGAAATAAAATATACTGCTGCTTCAAAATGACAGGTCACACATTTGTTCTATGGAAAAACATGAAATGACAGCTGCCAGATAGATATTACTAATTGTGTGTGTTAATAGGAAATCAGAAATAAAAATACTTTACTTTTCATTGGCAGGTAACAAATTAGTACATGGATAAAATGAGAGGGCAGACATGCCAGTACTCAAAAGTGGCAGCATACTTTCATGGAATATTACATAATGACATCTAAACTGTCGTATCTGTGCGCCTATGCAAAGACACCTATAGTGTGAATGGTGAGGATTTTTTTTTTTTTTTTTTTTTGGGGGGGGGGGGGTGAGTCACCTTGCCTTGGTGGGAGATGGCCAGCATGTTCTAATTAGGGTATTTCCATGCTTTTTAGTTTAATTTTTTTTAAGAAGTGGGACATTAAGCACAGCCACATATTCTAATCTTGATGTAACAAAAGTGTACAAGATGTCATGAACAAGTTAATCCCTGTACAATACAGACAGGTGTAAATATAAAGAATTATATATTTTTTATTAATATATCGGCCATTTCCCGCCGAGGCTGGGTGACCATAAAAAGAAGAAACACTTTCATCCCTAGAAATATGCACACATTCATATATTATGCTTCTGAGTGAAAAAATTATATGCAAATATAAGGTTTCAGATACATCTTGCTATTTCTCCTTACACTTAGGTCACACTACACATACATGTACAAGCATATACAGGTACCATCCGACTTACGACCAAGCTTGATTCTGACCAACCAGTTGTAAGTCAAAATGGACATAAGTCGAACCTTACTACTGAATATCAACATCACACTTTTGTAATGATTTTATTTTATTGTTTTATTTTGGTATTTCATTTTTTACTTTACTTTTTATGCTGTTAGTATTGTATTTTATACTGTAAGGTTTAGGATAAACACTGTGTACAATACAAACAGTTGTTTATTTCCCAGAAATTTGGCATAAAAAACATGGTCTTAAGTCGAGTGGTCATATGTCGAGCAGGTCGTAAGTCAGATGGTAGGTGTATATACACACCCCTCTGGGTTTTCTTCTATCTTCTTACTAGTTCTTGTTCTTCTTTATTCCTCTTATCTCCATGGGAAAGTGGAACAGAATTATTCCTCTGTAAGCCATGGGAGTCAAAAAAGGAGACTAAAATGCCGGGAGCAAGGGGTTAGTAACCCCTTCTCCTGTATATATTGGGGGGACACAGCTAGTTTGTTGAAAGAAGAAATATAATATTAGCTAATCTCAATGTCTCTTTTAAAGAAATGTCTTTTCTTCTTCAGTGTTATTACTGGGTGTCTTTCTATACTAATTAAGATGTTTGATCATATCAAGTCTGAGCTCTTGTTTCATTCAGTTTTACTTATGGGAACATCTTGTACAAAATGCTCACGCTAAATCTGAAGTGTAATCTAAAGAAATAGTAAATTGAAAGCCCATGATGAGACACAGTAACACAGTACTCAACTGCAAAGCCACACAAGGAAGAGAAGAATAATGGTGGTGAAGGGTAGGGCCTGCGTCGACTGGTATGCCCAAGCCACTGTGTTCTGCACACTCCATATCAAGAAGAATGGACCTAAAAATATGAATGAAGGTGAGTAATTAAATCTTCCCTATTAGACTTCCTAAGAAAGAGTAACAATTTTGAATGGGTCATTGTATGACTACGACCCATGTCAGGACACAGTTTCCCAAGCAAGAAAAGACCAACCCAACCAAATTACAGTAGTACCTCGGGATACAAACAGCTCAAAACTCAAACAATTATGTAAGTGTATTTATGTAAGTGCTTTTCTAAATGTATTTTTGGGGGTTTGAAATGGATTAATCTAATTTACATTATTCCTCATGGGAACAAATTCATTTGGTATCGGCACTCAAGCAGCCTTCTGGAACGAAATAAATTCATATCCCAAGGTACCACTGTATAGCAAATTTCTATTATCTTTTATTGTACAGTACCAGATTTCACTTACCAAGTTTACCTAATACAGAAAGGAAAGGAAAAAACTGTCAAAAATACAGTGTTGCATTTCAAATTCATCCAATTTAACAATCCCATGCAACCAGAACATAATGTGTTCACGTAACTGATTTATTTTATTGCACATATGAGTACCCCCAATCTTTTGTCCACCCCTTTACACACACAAAAATTTAGTAGTGGTTAGCAATGAATGCAAAATACAATTTACCTGCAAAGAGAACTGTAGTAAGGTTGACATTTGAAACCCATGTGGTTCCACCCATCATTCTGAAGTATGATGATGACACATATCCAGCAATGACCGATGCAAGCGCATACAAAAATATGGCTGCACTATTCATTGCTCCGTGCCGGTGAACATTAAACATTCCCAAGAGAGCCATTCCAATAATACCTATTGTAACAGCAAGGAACTGACAGCCAACACCTGAAGAAAAATAAAAAATTGCATTAACACGAACTATACTTACACCAATGACAGTTAATGTAAAAAACAGGAAACACACAACACATACAGTCATCCCTGCAAATTTCTAGGACTCCTCATTTGCAAAGTTCAATAATGATTTTACTGATCAGTTTTCTGGAAATATGGTACCTATTATTTCAGGCTTGGCTCACACCTCATAAAATAAAAGCTAATTACCAGATTTTGTTCAAATTTTGCTCAATGACTTTCTCCACTTTCTATTCTGGTCATTCCTTTGAATGAAGATATAAAAAAAATTAGTGATATATAAGAGAGATGTGGTCTTTGAAACACAAAATGAACCCAAATCTGAAACAAATTTAATTTAGCAGACTAATATTTGTAGTTTTTAGTTTTGTAGGCTCTTTAGGAACTTAACTCCTGTTAATGTGTAGGGACAAATGTACAAGAAATGTAGTGCTTTCTAAACATTAATACACCTATGCTAAAAAATTGTAATAAATTAATTGCAACAATTCAATGGAGTGATCGAGACTAAATCCCACAAAGGCAACAGACTGACAATCTTGGACTAAGGATTCTAATCCCAATCACTCAACTGATTTAAGACTAAAATAGGCCCTTTTTTAGGTTGCATCTTACCTAAAATGGAAGAAAAGAGAGACTTGCGCTTGGGGAACCGAAACACATCTGTGTGAATGATTTTCCATCCATAGTCATCACTATCAACTTCATCCCGTACTTCTTCATCAACATTGTAGCGAGCAAAATCATTCTTTAGCACTCTTGTCTGTCAACAATAATAAATATTTAACACCTACATCCGTACGTATACTGTATAAACAAAAGAGTCATCTGTGTGTACCTTACAGTCTACCCCAGAAACTAGAGCAAGAGATGAGAATCATCATAACTTTTGCATGGTAGTGCAATTAACAGATAAACAGAGTATAACTAGACACAGTAAATAAGTATTTTAAGCTTAACAGGAAAAATTTAATATGCACCCTAACCAACCATTTTTGTTTATTCCAAAAGCAACAGCGATCTTGAGATAAACGGCATTTGGCCAGTAAGTGTCAGTTAGGCATAATTTGCAAAGTGGACATTTTGCTTATAGAAAAGGCTTGTTCAATCAATACACAAAGACAGACAAAAAACATATTCATGTAAGCGCAGACAGGTGAATGGCTGGGTTGGTAAGGTCACCATGTGTGTGGAGTGTGAGATAAGAGTCCTTATGTGTACTGGATCACTGTCAATGACCTGTTTTTATAAAAGAAATTGAGCTGAAGTTTTGGCTAAACTGAAAGAAAGATTCTGAAAGACATCTTTTGAAAGAAAGATTCTAAAAGACAACTTTTTGACATTAAAGTTTCCTTATACACATCATTAGTAACCACAGGAACCAAGAACATAAAATCTACATCTCACCAAAACCAGAGAACATAGACTAAAAGACTCATTCTTCCTACAGACCACACTGCAAGCTATATCACACCCACCCTCTTCAAGAGCAATGTAAGTGTTATGATTGTCACATCAATCAAGCACCTTTACCTTGATGAGTTTTGAGTCTACTCCCAGAGCCCGACCAAGGGCCAGACTCACACCATCAGACTTGACCAAAATTAAAAATAACCCCCCCAGACCTCTGTAATGCAAGTCTACATCATACCATGCAATAACTGTGACAACAAATATGTGAGGACGACATTCCAAAGACTACAGACCAGACTGCAGGAACATAACATGAATGCAGGACTCACAACATAGCACAAACGATGCCTGTATCATTCATAAGGGACAAGACCACACACCTGATGTCCTGGTAAGACGCCTTGCTGGTCATCAAAGGGACAAAACATGATAAAATGCCTGAAACTCTCTGATCTCCACACAAAATATAATGAAAAATGGTATGGTGATACCGACAACATTTGGAAAAATACACTTATGAACAGTTCAGGGTATTTATTAGAGGATATGTTTTCCTTAATAAACGTCCTGAACTATACATAAGTGTCTAATTCCACACAAAATATAATGCAATAGAATCAAGCTTTCAGTTTAGCCAACCTTTAGCCCAGCTTCTTTGGAATAAACTGATCAGCGACAGTGCACCAGCACACACAAGAAGTGATAGTTCTCTTACAGTGCCCCTATTTCACACTGTATCCATGACCTTACTAACCAGGACACTCACCTTGCCATGCTTGTATATAGTTGTTGTGCAGCCCTGTGAACCAAATGAAGAAGCCTGTTCTATAGGTGAAATGTCTCAATTAAATTTCTCTCTGTAGGGGAAGGAAGGCGGGGTTAGGGGACGTCCTCGAAAAGGTTGGAGGGAGGAGATAAAGGAGGTTTTGTGGGCGAGGGGCTTGGACTTCCAGCAAGCATGCGTGAGCGTGTTAGAGAGGAGTGAATGGAGACGAATGGTATTTGGGACCTGATGAGCCGTTGGAGTGTGAGCAGGGTAATATTTAGTGAAGGGATTCAGGGAAACCAGTTATTTTTATATAGCCGGAGTTGAGTCCTGGAAATGGGAAGTACAATGCCTGCACTTTAAAGGAGGGGTTTGGGATATTGGCAGTTTGGAGGGATATGTTGTGTATATTTATACGTATATGCTTCTAAACTGTTGTATTCTGAGCACCTCTGCAAAAACAGTGATTATGTGTGAGTGTGGTGAAAGTGTTGAATGATGATGAAAGTATTTTCTTTTTGGGGATTTTCTTTCTTTTAGGGTCACCCTGCCTTGGTGGGAGATGGCCGACTTGTTAAAAAAGAGAGAAAAGAGAGAGAGAGAGAGAGAGAGAGAAAGAAAAAAAAAAAAAAAACCTCTCTCTCTCTATCTATTTTTTTAACAGTGATCCATGCTGCACTTATTAACCTACTTTGCCACTGCTATACTTTTTGCCAATTTTTGCTAAACAAGCTTTTCCTATATGATTAGAGAGATTAATCATAATTTAAAACATCTCTCTCTCAACACGTCAGCTCTCTCCCACTGAGGTTAGGTGGCCTCTTCTAGAAAATAATGGAAAGGGTACATATATATATAAAATTTTGGACATTTGGAGTACCCAGACTGTCATAATACAGGTACAAACACTCAACTCCAACTGACTTACGATATCCCACTTTAGAGGGACTAAATATGAATACATTAAGAAAAATCTTAAATCTAAAACTCACAACATTAAAAAGTGTCATACCAATATTATGACGACAAATCCCATGAGGAGGAAAACAAGAACCATTGAGTTGATAATGGAAAGCCAATGGATCTCTAAGCTTCTGGGGAAGAAACTGTTGTCTTGGATCAGGTGCCCACGATCTGCATAACTGACCCTGGTAAACAGACCAAGATAACCTATATAAGGTTACTCTAGTAGAGGAATACTTATTATCATGTTAAAAGAGAAAATAATAGTCAAAATCTATCTGGATGCATTCATGGACTGAGTTGTGCTGACGATGAAGTGTACACTGCTAGGTCTGTCAAGTTAACAGCCACTGCATCAGCCCAATAACTGGTAAAATAACAGATTTAAATCAGATAGCAATTTAAATTTACAAAGGACATAGAGTACTGGCTTTTAAACAGAGTTGTCAATGAATGGAACAATCTGCCAAGTAGTGTCAGAGAAGCTAAAACCTTGGGGAGCTTTAAAAATAAGATAGAAAAATATACAAGAAAGAAGGGTTGGGTGTGATGAGGACCTGAGGCACTGAAGCGAAGTTCCTGGGTAGCTTTGGGTTGGAATGGTTGGTTCTGACAAGAACCTGCCTAGTATGGGCCAATAGCCCTACTGCAATGTTCCTCCATATGTTCTTAGGTTAAAGATAAAGTTCAAATCATAGACTAGTGACCTCAACAGGCCATTGTATGGCAAGATCCAGTTCCTGAGCCTCACCTAGTATGGTAACCATTAATCAGTTAGCATGATACCTCACACGAGTTTTGTTTCTTGTATTTACACGTGCATTCATGAACGTCATAAGAGTTTACATCCACTATGTCCTCTAATAGTGAATTTAACCCACCACCCCCACCCTGAAGAAATTTCTTCTTACACAATGATTTTCTTTATCCACTCTGATGATTCTACCATATCTAATACAGTATGACTCTTTTAAGCCTTTGTTACTTTAGTGTGTGAATTCACAATTACTGTACCTATTTGTGCTCCATCTTCAGCATTTAATATAATTTTTTACATTCAAAGGGTAATCCAAATGTCAGGTCCGAAGACTTCTGGAAAGAAGACTTGAGTGAATGGTGAATGTATTTTATGCTTTGAGTCCCCTGTCTTGGCAGGAGAAGGTTGCTCAGTTTAAAAACTAATCTCTTAAAATTTCAAATGACAGTAACACTTCCTATCTGGCCTTGCATCTCATTCAATTAATTTACAACTGAGGCTCTTGGTGTTGATTCTTCCTTATCTATTCTTTCATATACTTTTATACAGTGGACCCCCGCATAGCGACTTTAATCCGTGCAAGAGGGCTCATTGTTATGTGAAATGATCGGTATGCGAATGAATTTTCCCCATAAGAAATAATGGAAATCAAATTAATCCGTGCAAGACACCCAAAAGTATGAAAAAAAAAATTTTACCACATGAAATATACATTTTCCTACACACAAAGAGAAGGATACATGCACAATAGTAGAGTAGTACATGCACAATATATATTGTGCATGTACTACTCTACTAAATGAAGAATAAATGACACTTACCTTTATTGAAGATGCAGCAATGACTGATGAGACACTGTGTCCTGGGAGTGCCTTTTCCTCCTGAGTACTGTAGGTCCTGTTTGGCATTTTCTTCCAGAACAGGCCTTATCACACTGTGTATGCCACTACGATTCTTAAATCTCTCAAACCAACCTTTGCTGGCTTTAAATTCACCAATATGAGCACTAGTTCCAGGCATTTTTCCCTGTTCACCTGGGTGTTAGTCGACTGGTGTGGGTTGCATCCTGGGAGACAAGATTAAGGACCCCAATGGAAATAAGTTAGACAGTCTTCGATGACACTGACTTTTTTGGGTTATCCTGGGTGGAAAATCCTCTGGGGTTAATTGTTTCTTGGTATTCTCAATAAGCCACACCAACAACGGTGCTACAGCATCAGCAGCAGCAGCAGCAGCTGACAGTGCTACAGCAGCAGCAGACGATGCTACAGCAGCAGCAGACGATGCTACAGCAGCAGCAGCAGCTCACAGTGCTACAGCAGCAGCAGATGATGCTACAGCAGCAGCAGACGATGCTACAGCAGCAGCAGACGGTACTACAGCAGCAGCAGACGGTACTACAGCAGCAGCAGCAGCAGCAGCTGACGGTGGTACAACAGCAGCAGCAGCTGACAGTGCTACAGCAGCAGCAGACGATGCTACAGCAGCAGCAGACGGTACTACAGCAGCAGCAGACGGTACTACAGCAGCAGCAGCAGCAGCTGACGGTGGTACAACAGCAGCAGCAGCTGTACCACCAATAGTAGCGATGGTTGATTGGGGTTTATTATACAACCTGGCCAGCTCGGAGACACGCACTCCACTTTCATACTTATCAATGATCTTTTTCTTCATCTCTATAGTAATTCTCACCCTTATTGCTGTAGGGTTGGCACTAGAAGCTTTCTTGGGGCCCATGGTCACTTATTTTGCAGATAAAATCACCAAAAACACTGTAATAATACGAAATGTTCCGATTGTATGCTTGGATGTTACCGCAGAGGCTGGCTGGTAAACAATGCCACCGGCGGCACATGTGAGGCTGGCTAAGGGCGCACATTGGACGCGTCTCGGACGAAGAGCGGTGAGCGGGTTTTTGAGCGGTATGCGAGGCAAAATTTTTGCGATAAAAGCGAGTGGTATGCGGATTGAACGTTATGTAATGCATACGGTATGCGGGGGTCCACTGTACTCTTACATATTATCATATTTCCTCTTTACTTCCTATCAACTAATGAAGCTATATCTAATGCTTGTCGTCATAACTCATAATTTTTTTAATTCTGGGAACCATAACGTAATCCTCATAATTTATAGGCAGTTGGAAGATGTTGAAATTTGTAGGGGAAAACACTGAATATCTCTGAAGGATTCAACGGGGTAAAAACATTGTAACCAACATTATCGGTAGCCTTGAGGATTGGATATTAACTACATAGCACTCAATTTTCAATGCTTTTTCAAAATAACTTTTCCTTTTATAATCACAATAAGGCATGCATGTGTTTTTATTTATTACCTGTCATACTCTCAAAGAATTAATGTAAGCATTAATAACCATATAGAAATATTAACATTTCTCTTATTAATATATCACTATACTCTATTCTCAATTGTATGTCATTGAAAAAATAAACCAAGGATCACTATAAATTTAAATAATATATATTCATACAACAATCCTGTACTAAAGGTAAAATCAATAAATTCAATCATCACACTCTTGCAGTAAACTTTTAATAAGAATTCCACCATCTTTCACTCCATTACTTGCATACACATGTCTACTACATGCAGTCTCTGTGATGCCACTAACACTTTGTACTCCTACAATTTAAACTGTATACTTCATCTTACATTGCAACTTTAAATGCATAATCACCCAGAAAATGAAGCGCAATAAGCATCAATTTTTTACTTACGTTGTAGAGATCCAAGTTACTGAATATGTAATTTTCACCGTTAGAGGCGCCTCAACATCATCCAAGCTGATGGGACTGTGTTCCTTGGTGGCATTCACATAAATAATCTGTAATGGTAATAGAAGCAGAGTAATGCAGGATAAATCAGCAGACATTTAAATGTGCAATAATGCTTGATGTTGCATACTCACAATATACATCTTCCCTACTGGTCAGGCATTAATATATCACAAAACTAAAAGTGAATTTTTTTTTAGCACTTCAACTATTTTCTACCAAGATAGCATGGCTTAAAGCTCTGACAATTTAAAAAAAATAGTTTGTTAATGAAAAAAAGGTATGTTTACATGTTTTTAAAAATATAATATTATCCCCAGTATAAAATAAAATATGCAGACATTTGTATTTTCAAGAATAAGATTATGTTTTTTTTTTTGTCAAAATAATAGCCAATATGCTGGTTTCTTTAGTATATGAGCCATTTTAGGGCTAATTTTGACCTGTTAATGTAGTACAGAAGAGAATTATTTAAAATATGTACATAGATAAATAACAAAATTAAATGATCAAACCTCGACTAAGATTATAGCACCTCTAAAGTTTACTACTTTTACAGTAACAGGTTTTTTGTATAACTATTGTATAAGCACAGTACCTCACTTTTTTTTAATTTCTACCTCAAGGTGGCTCATAATTCAATTGCAACTCTTACATTCATGCATAATATTCTTGATTATTTTAATACCTGTTGAGGGAACTACCATCAAAGGGAAGAACTTATAAGCTTACAAGGAAAGTCAAAGTTGGTATAAGTCAGTCAATTTCAGTCCACAAAAGTCATAGTGTCTTCATTGAAGGTGGGGCTTTCTGAAAGGAGAGCAGGTCAAGTAAGGGAACCCAGACACACACACAAAAAAAGGGGGACCAGAAATGAATTCTGTCAAAAATGGTACAATCAATCAAAAGGTAGATGAGTAGGAGGCATGTGCAACAGTTAAGTATCTTTATTTCTTAACTGATGCATGTGTATCTTACTCATCTACTTGTCAGTATTGTATACCTTTATTATACTGATACAATCAAAAGGTGTTTAACAATCAACATGACCTGACAAGTTTCACGAGTCTATAGAGGGTGAAGTGTATACATATTGCATAGCATCAGCCGTACAGAGGATATTATACTGTATTTTACATAAAGTCAATGGTCATTTAATTTTTTATTATAATCATGTTGCTGGTTTAGCCATATCCAATGTTTTTACTTAATATGCTATTTTTGTATAAACACTTACTACAAAAATCTAATACCGTAATTTAATATTATGCTGCATCAACCTCTCTATATATAAAGCCCCACAATGCTACTTAACCCTTTGACTGTCACAACCCCCAATCCTGAGGTGTCTCCTGGTGTTGCAAAATTTAAAAAAAAAAAAAAAATTATTTTTTCTTATGAAATGATAGATAATCTTTTCCCGATTGTAATGACACCAAAAAAATGAAATTTGATGGAAAACTGACGGAATTATGCTCTCGCGAAGTTAGCGACCTCGGCGATATTTACAAATCGGCGATTTCGCCCACTTTGAGCCCTATTTTCGGCTAATTCCATTGTTCCAGTCAACCAAACTCATAGCTATTTCTTTAGAACTCCATTTTTTCTATCGATTGAGTACAAGAAACTGCCCATTTACCGATTTCAACTACCCAATAATGTGATCAGAAATTTGCAATTTGGCCAATTTCACAAAAATTAAAAAAATGACAATTTCAAAATAAGGTCCAGAATGAACAATGCAGACATTCCTGGCTCTAAAATAATATTTTCTTTGTTCATCAGTCATGTCTCCAGGCCCCTCTGATATTACTCTTGCTTTCTATTTTGAATTTTTATTCAAACAAAAAATAGAAGACTTACTATTATGCAGACTACTGCAATACTGTAATAATTGTATAAATAACATCAACCCATTCATGACTGCATATTAGAATGGCTAGTTGGACATTTATTGGGCAATGACATCATTTGTTTACTTTTGAACATTGGCAAAAATCAAACATTTCCCCTACTTGGAGCTCCATTTCCAGGTTCTTTTTATAGTAAAATCAATCAAAATCACCTCTACTTCTATAATATGTTTTCCATTCTATCAAATGAGACCAAGAAAATGAGAATACAACCATAAATACTATACGAAAATAGACCACAAAGTCGGCATTTTAATTAAAAAAAAATGGTCGGAGTTTTTTTTTTATTATTATGCACTGCGTGCTCCAGGATTTTTTTTATATGGTGCACACTGACCACACAGACCCATTCTCTCACATGTGGGCCTACCAGCTTTCTCCTGCTTGATTTGAAGCCGCTAGAATTTATGAGTATATATGTCAAACACGGTACCTCGTAAGACGTACATATACGGCAGCAACAGTCAAAGGGTTAAATTATATGCAGTACTAATACACAAAATGCCCTGAACCATGATTCAGTCACAGCTTGTTTAAAAGAAGTTATTACCAGTATATACTGTATTGCCTTACTAACAGGTTGAATATATCTTCAAGTGAAACAATGTTCATACCTTGTCCCCATTGTAGTATATATTAAAGTGCTGATGAGTCCAAAGGAACACTTTGTGAGTGTGTGGAATGAAGCCTGACTCTTCCAGGTGGCCGATGAAGTCCCTTACGGGTATGTCATTGATCACAAACTCATAGTAATAGTGCTCTTCTATAGCTTCTCTTAAGTATTGTACTTCTTGCTCGGAGAGGATCAAGTCACAAAGCTTGCGATTCTGGATGTTTTCTTCACATGTCAAAGAAAAAGAAAATGTATATTATAGTCTATATATAGTACCGCAATACCAAGACAAAAGTGAAACAGCCCACAAGTAAATGCAATATCAACACAATATGGTATAAAAAATTTATTACAACTTCAATATTTTCATTTCCAACTCATTAACAATTTGCTTTTATAAAGCAAATCTTTGGTAATGAGGGTCACATTTAGAGACCAAAATATTCAGTTTATCTTTCATCTTTTTCAAAAGCAAGTGTGTATGTATTGTGCAAAACATACTCAGTATTGTACATGCACATTAAGTCCAAATTCTGTACATGCATATAAAGTCCATATTCTGCACATGCATATATATTACACATAACTGTTTATGGTCATATATGCAAAATATAAATAACCACTGTACTGTAATAAAAATTACTGTAGAGTAAAATCTCTACTAGAAGACTTGGTTACATTAAGCCAACTGTGAATAGATAATGCCTAAAATATTCAAAGCATCAGACAAACAGAGACCTCTTCAGACAGTTTCCTCAGTGACCTAAGTCATCACTGAGTAAAAATTACCACTGGCCATTTCCCACTGAGATGGGGTGACCCCCCCTAAAAAGAAAAAAAAGGGAAAGGCATTTTTACTGTCATTCATTTAATCACTGACTTGCCACACTATCCCCATCCCTCCATCAGAGTACCTGAACTGTACTTCTCGCCTCCATCTAACCACTTTGCCTGAATCCCTTCCTAAGTACTACCCTGCTCATACTGCAACAACACATCAAATAAAAAAACCCACTTGCCTCCACTCACTCCTATCTAACAAGCTCACACAAGCCTGTTGGATGTCTAAGCCCCTGCTTCTCAAAACCATCTTTACCTCTTCCCCCTAACCTTTCCCGAAACGGCCCTTAACACTCCCTCCCTCCACCCCAGATTTATATGCTCTTCCAATCATCCTATTCTTTTTCCATCAATAATACTATATTAAAACACATGAAAGATATATTAAAAAATTATATATCAGCATTTAAAGTTTAAATAAGTATGCAACATCTCCACCCCTCTTTCAGAGGACAGGCACCTTACTTTCAAACTCAAGGACTAAATTCTGGCTAACAAATTTTCCTGAATCCCTTCATGTTCCCATCCTCACACTCCAACAGCATGCCAAGCAAGTATCATGTGTGTAGATAAAATGATTCAATAAAGCACTGGTAAGTTTCAGCCTGCAGTGTGTGAAAATCTGAAGAACACTTCCATAGTTCTATATGGAAGTGAAATACTGAAATTATGGCCATCTTAACTATTGTATCATATTCACTTTTATTAAAACTCTTGATTTAAAAAATAAAAGTAATTTTCAAATATGTAAAAGTTTACCTTTGTATCTGATTTTGTAGTCTGACTTGGCCATGCGATCCCCATCCAAGACTTCCCCCAGTGTAAGGCTCTTATGTTCAATCTGAAGAAAAAAGTTATACCACTGTGGAACCTAACTGAATCTTATGTGAACATTATCTAATTTAATGGAGTAGTATATGCAGTGTAAACTTTGTGAAGGAATTGTTAAGTCTTGTTTTCTTACACGCTTTTCTCAAATGTAAGTAAGCAAATTATTATAACCACTATAATAATTTTGGGGAAGCACTAAACTCTCAAGTGTAGTTACATTTCACTGGCTTAGCGAAACCTTTGCCAGCAACAAGGCACCTCCCGTGTAGGGAATTCAGCAAATTACCATATTTTCTTTTTCAGCTCTTATAAGGAAAATTCTCTTATTGATACACAGATAAATCACAAATTAACATTTAAGGATATTTATGGACATTATGTTGTAAAAAAAATTATATTTATACAGTACTGCATAACTTTAACGTTCTTTTCAAACTTACAATTTTGGGGCGGCAAACTGGCAGCTGGTAATAGTGGTAAGTTTCATGTGGATTGAAGTATGGTCCCACTTTGTTAACATATAATATAACCTGGAAAAAAAATAATTACCCATATTAATTCATTTACTTATGAATATTAAATAATCACTAAAAAAAGGAAAATGAAAAGCAATTTGCAATTTTTTCTCTGGATCAAATGTAATTTGACAGCTTTATTATGCACACTGTTCCTTGTTAGGTAAGACACATATGCAACAGTTAGGTATCTTTATTTCGAAATAAAGATACCTAACTGTTGCATATGTGTCTTACCTAACAATCTGTCGGTATTTCATACCATTTTAATGTTCATTCTGTCAGACACTGCAACACAAGGGTATCTTGGTACAGACCACTTCGACAACCTCTACTAGTGAGAACGGCTGGGTTTGAGAAGGACCTGCCCTCCCAAAGCAACCTACGTCTCACCTCCTGGCACTATATAAAGGCCCCATTCTGTCTCGAAATAAAGATACCTAACTGTTGCATATGTGTCTTACCTAACAATCTGTCGGTATTTCATACCATTTTAATGTTCACACTGTTCCTTACTTGTGGCAGTAGCCAAAAGATTACAGAGGCACATAACTCGGCCCAGCTATTGGACACCGGCATTGTCTTTTTCTTCTTATCACCAACAATCAGATATGAAACCTATCTTATTCTTCCAGATGTAAAATCTGTCAGCTAATTTATCTTTATTTCTTTAAATCAGTATCAGTAAAAATTAGGCTCCTACCTAGATTATACCTGGAGAGGGTTTCAGGGGCTAATGTCCCTGTGGACCAATCTGTGACCAGGCCTCACGTGCAGCATTAATTACACATGGGTCCTTCTACCTAACTCAATACAGTCAAGAAATTTGGATTCTTTTCATTGGGGTACTTTGGTCGAAGACAAGATTCAAAACGAGTCAGCTGACACTACTTACTGCTAAGTGAATAGGTGCAAAAGATATAAGGAAACATACCCAACGTTTCCACTGGCCCTGGGAGTGAACCTTGGTCCTTCAGTCATAAGGTGAAGGAAGGTGCTACCACTTGAACCATGGGGGTCGAGCTCAAGACCTATCAGTTGTGGGTCGAAAGCTCAGCAAGTGAAATGGAGAGGAAGTTTCCTCTGTTTTGACTCTTTTGGGCTATCCTAGGTAATTTACACTATGTATGATAATGGTACTTACAAATACCTGTACCTAAATAAACTTACTTACTATACAAGCAGCAAGTTTTACAAAGCTATGATATGATACTCCCATGTAAGTAAATTTAACGATGTACAGGTACACATAAGTACAATTATTGTGCTGAGTCCCGTAGCTGGGTTGGTAATGCACTCATTTCACACACTTAGGTCCGTAGTTTGATCCCCAGTAAGGGTGGAAACATTACGACCTGTTTCCATAAGACACCTGCTGTCCATGTTCACCTAGCAGTAAAATAGGAACCTGGGTGTTAGTGTAATGGTGTGGGTTGCACCCTGGGACCATAATTAACCTAATTGAAGACAAAATTAACCTAAGTTGCCTGAAATGCAATACATAACAAGGTGCTTTCTATATACATAGTATGTCACTGATGTCAACTATGGTCTGTATAAGTTGTATCATGTACTTGTAGAAATAAATATTATTATTATTTTTATTAAAAAAGTCTAACTGAATAGAATGACAAAAAAACGGTCACCCACACAGTTACTGACCAGACTGTACCTAACAGCGCTTAACCTGACTAAGTAACTAGCAAAGCCACAAATATTTATATAATCCATTACCTTCTTTGATTACGAGTTGCCTGGCAATGAAACTGAAAGAATGAAGACCCTGCTAAAATTCCCATTAAATCCATTACCTGCGCGAAACCACAATGACAGCATGATGAAACAACAGCACATGAAGCTCAGGGTCATACCTCATCATTATCAGTGTAAGCCACAGCTAATGTAGCTGTGAAACACGAAATTAAGACACCAGAGACCAGAGTTGTTTTCATCTTGCTTCGTGGCGAAAAACACCAGACCCGTGAGTGTTTGAGGGTCGCTGAACCTGTCACACTCAAGACAACACAGCATCACTACTTACACTTATCTCTCTCTTCTAACATACTTTGTCATATTTAAACCAAATAGAATCCTGTGGTTGTGCCTTATACTTTTTTTTTGCAATATACTCTACGTAAGAAAAGTTTATTCAGGTATACAGATAAATAGTTATGTTAATTATCATATATAGCAGCAAACCCCTCCCCCCCCTAAAAAAAAGTCAGATAAAGTGACTTATTTCCATTGAAGTTCTTGAAGTAATGATAATAAGCATAATAATAATAATCTTTATTTCTACAAGTATATGATGCAACTTATACAGCCCATAGTTGACATCAGTGACATACTATATAGTAATTATAAGTAAGTTTGTTTAGACACAGGTATACATGGAGCATACCTGGGGAGGGTTTCAGGGGTCAACGCCCCCGCGGCCCGGTCTGTGACCAGGCCTCATGGTGGATCAGGGCCTGATCAACCGGGCTGTTACTGTTGGCCGCACGCAACCCGGCTGGTCAGGTACTGACTTTAGGTGCCTGTCCAGTGCCTTCTTGAAGACAGCCAGAGGTCTATTGGTAGCCCCCCTTATGTATGCTGGGAGGCAGTTGAACAATCTTGGGCCCCTGACACGTATTGTGTTGTCTCTCAGTGTACTCGTGGCGCCCCTGCTTTTCACTGGGGGATATTGCATCGTCTGCCAAGTCTTTTGCTTTCAGAGGGAATGATTTTCGTTAGCAAGTTTGGTACTATTCCCTCTAGGGTTTTCCAAGTATATATAATCATGTATCTCTCCCGCCTGCGTTCTAGTTAGTTAGTTTAATATGTTTATTATGCACCCCATACCCATCCTGTGGGCGGTAGTCAAAAGATTACAGAGGTACATAATTGGTCCAGGGACTGGTGTTTTATCTCCGTTATGCGCGCCGTGAAGGTTCTCTGTCCATTTTCTAGGTCAGCAATTTCACCTGCCTTGAAAGGTGCTGTTAGTGTGCAGCAATATTCCAGCCTAGATAGAACAAGTGACCTGAAGTGTCATCATGGGCTTGGCATCCCTAGTTTTGATAGCTCTCATTATCCATCCTGTCATTTTTCTAGCAGATATAACTAATACACTGTTTTGGTCTTTGAAAGTGAGATCCTCTGACATTATCACTACCAGGTCTTTTACATTAGTTTTTCGTTCTATTGTGTGGTTGGAATTTGTTTTATTCTCCGATACAGTTTTAATTTCCTCATGTTTTCCATATTGGAGTAAATGAAAATTCTCATCATTGAACTTCACATTGTTTTCTGCGGCTCATTTAAAGATTTGGTTGATGTCCGCCTGGAGTCTTGCAGTGTCTTCACTGGATGACACTTTTGTTAGTTAGTTTAATATGTTTATTATGCACCCCATACCCATCCTGTGGGCGGTAGTCAAAAGATTACAGAGGTACATAATTGGTCCAGGGACTGGACTCCAAAGTTTTGATAGCTGAGCAAGTTACAGAGGTAATGAATTCACAATTTGCAAAGGTAATGAACTCACAAATTACAAAGGTAATGAACTCCAGGTAGTTCTAGTCACAATCATGACAAGTTACAAAGGTATTTACAGATTACAGAGGTACGTAATGGGTCCAGGGACTGGGCCCCAAAGTTTTGATGGCTGAACTAGGTACAAGGTAATGAACTCACAAGTTACAAAGGTAATGAATACTGTAAGAATGGTTACTTACGTTTATACATGGCTACAATCATGAACAAATTATAGTGTAATGAGCAATTCACACTTCCACACCCGGTCACAACTGTAGTGAGTTATTGGTGCAAATATTGATTGTTGAGTCACACACACACACCACACACACACACACACACACACCACACACACACACACACATATATACAAATTCATACACACACACACACACACACACACACACACACACATAAACACACACACACACAACACACACACACACAACACACACCACACACATACACAAACTCATACACACACACGCACACACACTCATACACACACAACACACACACACAACACACACACCCACTCATACACACACACACACCTCATACACATACACACGCACACACACACACACACACACACACACACACACACACACCACACACACACACACACACACACACACACACACACACACACACACACACACACACACACACAGGAGCTTGGACTCGACCCCTGCAATCTCAACTAGGTGAATGCACACACATACACACACACACACACACACACACACACACACACACACACACACACACTCATACACACACACACTCATACACATACACAACGCACACAAAACACACACACATGTTAGGAAGTATTTCTTCAGCCACAGAGTAGTCAGTAAGTGGAATAGTTTGGGAAGCGATGTAGTGGAGGCAGGATCCATACATAGCTTTAAGCAGAGGTATGATAAAGCTCACGGCTCAGGGAGAGTGACCTAGTAGCGATCAGTGAAGAGGCGGGGCCAGGAGCTCGGACTCGACCCCCGCAACCTCAACTAGGTGAGTACAACTAGGTGAGTACAAACACACACACACACACACACACACACACACACACACACACACACACACACACACACACACACACACACACACACACACACACAGGAGCTTGGACTCGACCCCTGCAATCTCAACTAGGTGAATGCACACACACACACACACACACACACACACACACACACACACACACACACACACACACACACGCACACGCACACAAACACACACACACACACACACACACACACACACACACACACACACACACACACACACACACACACACACACACACACACACACACACACACACACATGCACACATGTGGTAATGCTTTATTTACAGCTAGCAAAGTCAGGGTATTTCTCCAGAATGGTCTGCAATATACCACTGTGGATAAAGTACTTTGCCATTTCTTGAACATTTCTGAGTGAGTTGTTTCTAAATTCATTAATTTTATCACACTCCAGTACATAATGACGCAAGGTGTGACAATAGTCCATCTGGCAAAGTTTACATTTCGTTTGGTCTACATCTGGTGGTGGTGATTTAACCTGCCAAAGATACTTGTAACCCAGCCGGAGCCGGGCAGTAGTGACATCCAAGAGTCTGCTTATTTTGTTGGATGCATCATAAGATAAGATAAGATAGGATTTCGTTCGGATTTTTAACCCCGGAGGGTTAGCCACCCAGGATAACCCAAGAAAGTCAGTGCGTCATCGAGGACTGTCTAACTTATTTCCATTGGGGTCCTTAATCTTGTCCCCCAGGATGCGACCCACACCAGTCGACTAACACCCAGGTACCTATTTGCTGCTAGGTGAACAGGACAACAGGTGTAAGGAAACGTGTCGAATGTTTCCACCCGCCGGGAATCGAACCCGGGCCCTCCGTGTGTGAAGCGGGAGCTTTAGCCACCAGGCCATAGACATGTGGCTCCTCCTGCATGATAGAATGATGATAGATGGACTCACTGGTGTCAATCTCCCTGAGCCTTAAGTCCATAAAATTCAGTTTAGCCAATTTATCAGTTCTATCATGCATCTGAAGACCAATGTGAGATGGAATCCACAGCATGTGCACTCTGACTCCACTGTCCACAATCCTACCATACCTGTGTCTGGCTTCTGACACAAGCTTGCCACAATTTATGCTTAATGAATTGAGAGCATTTATGGATGACAGAGAATCAGTTACAATTAAACTGTCAATCTTTGATACATAGATGCATTTCACTGGATGACACTGTCATGCAAATTCGGGTGTCATCTACAAAGGAAGACACTGTGCTGTGGCTGACATCCCTATCTATGTCAGTTATGAGGATGAGGAACAGGATGGGAGCGAGTACTGTGCCTTGTGGAACACAGCTTTTCATAGTAGCCGTCTCAGACTTTACTCTGTTTACTACTACTATGTTCTATTTGTTAGGAATTTATAGATCCATGTGTAAACTTTTCATGTTATTCCTTTATCACGCATTTTGTGTGCTATTACACCATGGTCACACATAAGTACGATTATCATGCATGGTGTAAATCACCTAGAAAATCCAAAAAAAGTCATAGTGATTTATTTCCATTGGTACAGGTACATGGGATCAGGAGCTGTGAATCGACCCCTACAGTCACAAATAGGTGAGTACAATTACACAAATCTAGATGACCACAATTATCAACCATTGTAACATGTGTAAATTACCTAGGTTAACCCCATAAAAAGTCCAAGTGACTTATTTCCATTGGGGTTCTTGTGATATCTTACTATTTAAATGTCATTCTGGATAATTATGGCGTTACTTTCCCCGCTATATATGTCTACTCATAACCACCATAAGCAGACACGTGTACCTCATGCTAATATATAGGGAAATTTCCTCGTTAAACTTCCAACATTAGATTTGCTGACGTATAAGAAACCTCAGTTTAATATCAGTTTGTCGCATATTACCGTTGATCTATATAGATTACTTATAACCAAAAAGTGGTCAATATAAAGAGTAAAATCACTAAAGCCTGTGGCAGAATTTCACCCAAGGTTAATAATAATAATAATAATAATAATAATAATAATAATAATAATAATAATAATAATAATAATAGTAATTTTATTTCAGCATGTTGCAATATTTGTATAGAATATAGCAGAGGGGGAGGGGACGGGACAAAGAGAGGAAGAGAGAAGTGGAGTAGTGGTAGAGATAATGCTGGTAGTGGAAGTAGTAGTGGTAGAGATAATGCTGGTAGTGGAAGTAGTAGTGGTAGAGATAATGCTGGTAGTGGAAGTAGTAGTGGTAGAGATAATGCTGGTAGTGGAAGTAGTAGTGGTAGAGATAATGCTGGTAGTGGAAGTAGTAGTTGTAGAGATAATGCTGGTAGTGGAAGTAGTAGTGGTAGAGATAATGTTGGTAGTGGAAGTAGTAGTTGTAGAGATAATGCTGGTAGTGGAAGTAGTAGTTGTAGAGATAATGCTGATAGTGGAAGTAGTAGTGGTAGAGATAATGCTGGTAGTGGAAGTAGTAGTGGTAGAGATAATGCTGGTAGTGGAAGTAGTAGTGGTAGAGATAATGTTGGTAGTGGAAGTAGTAGTTGTAGAGATAATGCTGGTAGTGGAAGTAGTAGTTGTAGAGATAATGCTGATAGTGGAAGTAGTAGTGGTAGAGATAATGCTGGTAGTGGAAGTAGTAGTGGTAGAGATAATGCTGGTAGTGGAAGTAGTAGTGGTAGAGATAATGCTGGTAGTGGAAGTAGTAGTGGAAGAGATAACGCTGGTAGTGGAAGTAGTAGTGGTAGAGATAATGCTGGTAGTGGAAGTAGTAGTGGTAGAGATAATGCTGGTAGTGGAAGTAGTAGTTATAGAGATAATGCTGGTAGTGGAAGTAGTAGTGGTAGAGATAATGCTGATAGTGGAAGTAGTAGTGGTACAGATAATGCTGGTAGTGGAAGAGATAACGCTGGTAGTGGAAGTAGTAGTGGCAGAAGTAATGCTAGTAGTGGAGGTAGTAGCAGAAGTAGCTAATCCTTCTCCACTTCCTTTTCACTTCCTCTTTGTCCCATGTTTGTACAGAGATGGGTAACATTTAGTTGGACACTCAGAAAGAACATAATTATGCAGAGCATTTTACTGTCACAGTCATTTCTGTGATACTTAGGAAATCCCCAGAGTCAGTTTCTTAACGTTTCCTGTAATCTTACAAATACTATTTTGTTTAATTTAAATTATTACTATAATCAAAAAGAAGCGCTAAACCACAAGGGCTATACAGCGTTTAATTTAAAGTTACGCTAAATTGGGTTAAGCAAATCTGCAGGCTACAGCTCGCCTCCCCATCCACCATTCTGTTTATTCATATCAAAATAAACTTAATATATATCGGCAAATAAATTAAAACACCCATGATACGTCTAGAAGAGAAGTGGTTAGTGCAACCAGGAACGTTAAAATCTCCACGATGATCACTCCAAATGGAAATGTCACTGTCTAACCTTTTTGGGTTATCCTAGGTAATTTACACATATGTTACTATGTATGATAATTGTATTTATGTGGACATGTACTTAAACTTACTTAAATCCTGCAAAAAATCCACTAGCAGTTATAATGAAAACCATTCTTCACAGAAATAGAGTTCATGGATCATAATCCTGTGGGCGGCACCAGAGTCGAATATCCGAATTTTGAGAGCTGGTGCTGGCGGTGTTGACGGTCTTCAACGCTGAGGAAGATATCTGGTTAGTTAATTAGTTTAATATGTTTATTATGCAATCCATACCCATCCTGTGGGTGGTAGTCAAAAGATTAGAGATACATAATGGGTCCAGGGACTGGACCCCAAAGTTTTGATAACTGAACAAGTTACAAAGGTAATAAACCCCAGGTAGGTCTAGTCAATATAACTACGCTTAACCTGTAAGTTTATTTAGGAAGATACACATGAGTACAATTATCAGTGTAAATTACCTAGGATAACCAAGAGTCAAGTGCCTTATTTCTACTGGGTCCTTGAGAAGAGAATTAAATACATAATAATCTACATCTTTATTTCTACAAGTACATGTACAAGGTATATAGACCATAGCTGACATCAATGACATACTATATAGAAAGCCGCTTGTTATGCAGAGCATTTCGGGTAAATTAGGTCAGTTTTGTCCCTAGGATGCGACCCACGCCAGTCCACTAACACCCAGGTACCCATTATATACTGATGGGTGAACAGGGAAAGCAGGTGTCTAATCGAAACACGTCCCTAATGTTTTCCAGCCGTACTGAAGATTCGAACTCCGGACCTCAGTGTGTGAGTTGAGTGGGCTAGCGATCGAGCTACGAGCGATCGAGTTTACGTTCTTGAGAGCCGAGTTAGTTCTCCGGTTTTAGTACATTAAGTATATTATACAAAATAATAATAATTATTATTAAAAACAAGCGTGTTGTTAACCTGTATGTCATAAGCACTGTACCTACCCTGAACAGGGACACCGAGCAGGCCTACTGGCCCATGCTGGGCATGTCTTCCTCAATTGTTATAATAATAATAATATTTGATTTCATCATGATATAATGTTTGTACAGCGATGGGCGACATTTTAGTTGTACACACAGAAAGCCCATAGTTATACAGAGCCTAGACTAGGAACTTACAACCTCTTCTACTACCGACTGCTGTATATATTTCCAGTCTTCATATTATGTCCATGTAATGTACTAATAAAACCACTGGATGGCGAAACATCTACAAATAAAGATACCCAGATGTTGCATGTGTCTCATTCATCATCTTGTCTGTACTGAATACCACTGATATACAAATATCTGATTCACAATTTACAATAAGCAAAGAGCATTGGATTGAGCATGTTTAAAAAAGCCGGTTATTACAGCTCTTAATTTGCAGACTCGTCTTTTAAGTAGTTAATTAACCTGATCTTGTTAACCTGAAAATAGAGAAATGTATGCACTTGAACATTTTGTTCGTTGCATGATGCTGTCAGGCTTCTTTCTGTTTAGGGAAGCCTTTTGATAAAATAATAAACCAAAGCACTAAACCCATCTGAAGCTTTTTGATAGTACAGTCAATTATGAGTTGCTAAAAATCAATAAAACTCAATGACATTTTGAGATCTTCCAATTTTCTGATTTTTTTTTTCCAAAGACTTTTCAAGTACGAATAATAAAAGGTCACTATGTATACGCTATCGTTGGCTAAAGAAAAATAAAAGGACATCGCACTGGTACGCAGAATGGGAGCGAGAAGTAAAATTTTGCAGTTGCTCTTCGAATACAGAATAAAGAAAAGCAACGTATATTCCACTATAGTAGACGACATTGATAATAATATAATCAAATTAAGCGTTAAACCCCGAGGCGTCATACAGCGCTGTTAGACAACCATGAGCCATCCTTGACATACAAGAAAATCGATTGGTGTAAATAAAATGCGTATGTAAATAAAAAGTTTTAGTACTCTAGTGTGTACAATATACAGAACACAAATTACTACTCTAAATTATTTTAATGAAATACGCCTTAAATTCAAACAATGTTTTTCAATTTGAAAATTCATCTCATAATAAATGAATTGTAATTTTACCTTCCATTTTCCAGTACATACAACCAACACAAAAGTATTAAATATACTTTGCACCACACAAAAATAACTGTTTAGAATAAGTCGTTGAGTTAAATATACATGTCAAAGTGATTAACTGATTTACCTGTCAAATGTTTCGGGGTCAACCTTCACAGCGCCCTTTTGAACACAAGTCTTATATGGAAAACGCAGCCTTTCAAACCAGCTGTGGACTTGCACCAAAAAAAATCGCGAACTGCTATCGGAATATGAACAAAGAAACTGTCATATAGGAGCTTTGATATTCAGTAAGACCAAGGGGGTAAAGTTAAATTCCCATTAAAAACAAGTGATGGAATTAACAGTCTCGGCCCGCCTTTGTATGGTCTCTTAACTTAGTACCTTTTTCATTGGTGATGGGCACCATGCAATCTTTTGCTATCGAGTGAGTGATTTTCGGTCAAGTTCTATCACCCAGGATTTTGCAGGATCAAATATTATTTCCATGCGTTCCGGGAATACGGTCTATTTTCTTATCAACATTCCTTATTGAAACAATTTATACTAAGAGAAAATACGGACACCTTTCAAACTAGGCAATTACAGACAAGTTAAAAAAAATATCGCAACTTTTGGAACCATAAACCAGAAAAATACATAAAGATTGAATTTAGGTATATACATTGGCTAGGTAAAGTATAGATAACAGATTAAAAAACAATAGAATACTATGCTCAATTATACAATTCAGACTTATCAAGTGTGCAAGCAACAAAACAATAAGTTGAACACAATAGTTAGTGATACAATTCATCAAGAAGATTACTGCAAGATCAGCAAAATAGGTATGACTGCTAATTTGCATTATAAACTATTCTAAATCAATGATATTTGAATCATGGAACAAGCTGCCATAGACCACGAATAAGTCTGGCCAAGCCCATAATAGCTAAGATTCATAAAATTCAAGATTCCCTAAATTATCTATACAAGGAACCGATTGATATGCAAGAGGATAGTTTAAGCATCCAGTTAGGGCAAAATAATTAGCTCAGGGTGAGCAAGCAGCAGACAATAACATTCTTGGAGAGGATACACTATAAAGTCTTAGAAAATAATCACTCGAGAAAGATTCCACGATGCGTGGTGTGATTCATATTCCTTAATTCATGCTCCTATTTATAAATTTACTTTCTTTAATCCCTGAAGTATTTTTTGTTCGCTATGAGGGATAATAATGCTGCAACTGCCACGAATACACGAGCAAGGCATAAGAGGCTTATTTCATTACAGTTAACATTTCAATCTCCCTAAATATTTATGGACAAAAGGAACCCGGCAGTTTTTGTGTGTTAGCCAAACGTCTTTCAGTGAATTCTGCCGTTTTGGCAGAAAATAATGAAGGGCTGTGAGGGATAAAACTCTTAGTGTTCCACGGGGAAAGAGGAACTACAGAACTTCCATCTCCACTTTCTTGGATTTCGTAAACAGGGCTACATGGGATATCATAACCGATTTTTGTTGGAGAACTAAACAAATCCATCTTCAAAACTGCCTGAAGAGGAGAACTCTCTGGGTCAATTGAGAGTTCTTTCTTAAAATCTGGTGTACTGGGGAGATCATGCACCTGAAATGAGCAATTGAACAATGGTGAAAGACAGTTAGAGGTACTTCCCTTTTTCACTAGGTCTTTTGGGGACAGATTGGCAGACGTGGAAATGTAGTGAGACCACATTGGATCCTTGATTCTATTATGGGAACTCGAGTCACTTTTGGCATTTTCGTATTTTATGCCCGAAGCCATTGTATGAGGTGCTGAAGAAACACGTTTCTGACCATTGGCGATATTTTTGAAGTAAATATCATGTACCCTTTCAAAATGTGAGCTGTCAAAATTTATCTTTCGGAAATGTTTCCCTTGTATTTTGAACTTGTTTGGATTGTCGTGTATTGTAAAATGGAGTGCATCTACCTGGTCGTGAGACGGTCTTGAAGACGAGATAGCTTGTGAGGCTGAGTGATTGGTCAATTTCTCAGCCTCGTGGTTAGCCACAACAATGTGACCTAACGCAGATTTGTTTACATCGTGTAGCTCCTTGTTCGTTTTCCTTTCGTTAAGTTTTCTCGAGGCTTCACTCATCTTACGTAAATTTTCAAACTGATTACAGTTGACTTTACTGGTGCCAATCCCGTGCTTGCTTTTTTTGTATAAATTTGGCCTCATCTGTGCCCAGCTGGGCCTAGAAGTTCCTGTGGAGCGCTGGGATGAACAACTCCCATAGGTTTTGTTCCTCTCTCTCTCATGAATCTGAGTTGAAAAGAAAAAAATCTGCATCAATTCTTATGAAAATATTACATTAGGATAGTAATTTTCAATATCGCAGATGGAAAAGAGAAATCTTCTCAATTGTTCCTTGTAAGAAAGATAATATACCATTCCTGCTTTCTTTGTATACACTCCGGTAAGCTTACTTAACAGAGGATAACAGTAAAGAACATATATAAAAGATAGTTAAACATTTCTAGCGTGTCATCTAAATATGTAAGTCTGTTAAAAGTACATCGACTGTATGTTGGTCATTAAAAATAGTATATTATACCTATATGCTAACGTTAAGAATACTTCATTTCCTAAAATTTGGATTAAACTGTGTATGTACACCGAGATACATGCCTCTCAATGTGAATAGCTTCTGACGAATAAGTGTATTTATTCGTGTAGGGAAAGGGCAGGTTGGTAGAATGTCCGGCGACACCTGAGGCAGGTGTCCAGTCAAGAGAGCCTCATTCTATATGACAGTCGTGACGGACGGTCTCAACAAAGGAAAAGACCCATAGATGACAAACATCTCAAAGACGGTTGCAATGCCCAGTTTTAAGAACTAATAGGAGCTCCGTGTTATAATTAGCTATTGCAAATTTCATGTCAATGTAAATCATTATTATTATAATCATTGGGGAGCGCTAAACTCGTAGGATTATACAGCATATGTGGGGGAATGGGAGGCATTCAGGCTCAATTCAGGGAACTGAAGCACAGATCCAAGTCCCTAGATCAAGAGCCCCTTACCAGCATCAAGGAACCTCCCTTGAGGGGATGTCAATGTAAAGATGGGTATAGACTGGGCCATTAGGCTATTTTGGTATATCTTAAAAATTTGTAGAACTTCTGCAGCCCTACTTGAAGGATGGTTCATTGTACATAAAGGATATACCAAGGTGGCACAGCCTTACCATATCATAATTAAATTTAACTGTTATACGGGAAAGCTTTGTTGCATATGATTCGTGCAAATGAAATGGTAGAATCCACCAAGTGTGCAATTGCTTTACAGCAGATGAGTGACAACTGTCATGGTTTTTTGACTGACAATAAAATGCATGTTCATATATTCTAATACATCACGTTAATTACATAAAAGCTGCCAAACGCACTTTTATCCTACTTCCCCCTAAGCCATATCATAAGTAACATGATAATAGATGCGAGTATCAAACATGGTAAGATCGAAGCTACTGCTACAAATTCTATTCAATGTACCAATGTACTGTGAGAAAACTATAATGTTCATCACACTGGTGGTTTATTATAATGGCACATAGAAAGACAAGCTCCTCATCACTATGAATAGTAGAAGTTACCCGTGTATGTTGTAAAGTTGACCAGAGCCACCGCCGTAGCTGTTGTTCCTGCAATTGTCGTAACTGTTTTGGACGCTGTTGTTGTCCATGTTGTCCTTGCTGCTGCTGCTGCTGCTCTCGTCTCTGTTGCCGTTTCTCCTGTTGTTGTCCTTGTGACTGATTAAAACTGTTCCTTTTCCAACGTCCGTTCTCAAACACATGTACAATTCTCCGACTGCCTTCATCTGAAATACAAATGCATATATGTATGTATGCACTCACCTAGTTATGGTTGCAGGAGTCGATTCACAGCTCCTGGCCCCGCCTCTTAACTAGCCGCTACTAGGTCACTCTTCCTGCTCCATGAGCTTTATCATACCTCTTCTTAAAGCTATGTATGGATCCTGCCTCTACTACATCACTTCCCAGAGTATTCCACTGTATGTATGTATGTATGTACGTAGGTATGTATGTATGTATGTATGTGTGTGTGTGTGCGTGCGCAAAACAACCACTGAAAGAATAGTGAAATTCAAAGTGCTTTCGTGACTTCTCACATTATCAAGGAACTATCAGTTAGTTCCTTGATAATGTGAGAAGTCACGAAAGGGCTTGGAATTTCACTATTCTTTCACAGTGGTTGTTTTGCATATTCTGAGATATATATAATATATATATATATATATATATATATATATATATATATATATATATATATATATATATATATATATATATATATATATATATATATATATAGTGCCGAATATGTAAAACTTGCGATCTTGGCTTAAATAGCAACGTTAATCTTCCCATATAAGACAAGAGAAAATTTATGTATGCAATAATTTCGCAAAAGTCATTCTGAACCTAAAGAAAAAAATATATTTCACTGTGTTTGTTTAGTATTAAATTATTGTAAACGTATCTAAAATATATTTAGTTGGATTACGCTAAAACAAATTGCGTTTGTTATAATAAGGTTAGGTAAGTTTACTAAGATTCTTTTAGTGCAAAAATTATATATTTTTACATAAACATTAATGAAAAATATATATGTTTAAACGTATAAGAGAAAATTTTAGAAAGGACTTAATTTTAAATGAGTTCTTGCTAATAGACCAGTTTTACCTATTCGGCACGATATATATATATATACATATATATATATATATATATATATATATATATATATATATATATATATATATATATATATAATAATATATATATATATATATTGCAAAACAATCGCAGACAGGCGATCTTAACAATGAAAGACAAGCCACGGGGGTGGAAATCTTCAACTCAAGTACCACACTTCTCAGTACGTCAGCTCCTGATGACGCACTGGGAAGTGTGAAAGTACTTGAGCTAAAGATTACCATCCCCCGTGGTTTGTCTTGCATGCATATATATATATATATATATATATAATATATATATATATAAAATATATATATATATATATATATATATATATATATATAATATGTCGTGCCGAATATGTAAAACTGGTCAATTAGCAAGAACTCATTTAAAATAGTCTTTTCTAAAATTTTCTCTTATACGCTTAGATATATTTTTTTCATTAATATTGATGTAAAAATTTATAATTTTGCACCAAAAGAATCTTAGAAAACTTACCTAACCTTATTATAACAAGAACAATTTATTTTAGCCTAACCCAACTAAATATATTTTAGATTTGTTTACAATAATTTAATACTAAACAAACACAATGAAATATATTTTTTTCGTTAGGTTCAGAATGATTTTGGCGAAATTATTGCATATACAAATTTGCACTTGTCCTATATGGCAAGATGAGCGTTGCTATTTAAGCCAAGATCGCAAGTTCTGCCTATTCGGCACGACATATATATATATATATATATATATATATATATATATATATATATATATATATATATATATATATAATATATATATATATATATATATCTGAGCTTCTCTGCAAAGACTGATTATGTGTTTACCTGGAGTTTACCTGGAGAGAGTTCCGGGGGTCAACGCCCCCGCGGCTCGGTCTGTGACCGGGCCTCCTGTTGGATCAGAGCCTGATCAACCAGGCTGTTACTGTTGGCTGCACGCAAACCAACGTACGAGCCACAGCCCGGCTGATTAGGAACTGACTTTAGGTGCTTGTCCAGTGCCAGCTTGAAGACTGCCAGGGGTCTGTTGGTAATCCCCCTTATGTGTGCTGGGAGGCAATTGAACAGTCTCGGGCCCCTGACACTTATTGTATGGTCTCTTAACGTGCTAGTGACACCCCTGCTTTTCATTGGGGGGATGGTGCATCGTCTGCCAAGTCTTTTGCTTTCGTAGTGAGTGATTTTCGTGTGCAAGTTCGGTACTAGTCCCTCTAGGATTTTCCAGGTGTATATAATCATGTCTCTCTCCCGCCTGCGTTGCAGGGAATACAGGTTTAGGAACCTCAAGCGCTCCCAGTAATTGAGGTGTTTTATCTCCATTATGCGCGCCGGGAAGGTTCTCTGTACATTTTCTAGGTCAGCAATTTCACCTGCCTTGAAAGGTGCTGTTAGTGTGCAGCATTATTCCAGCCTAGATAGAACAAGTGACCTGAAGAGTGTCATCATGGGCTTGGCCTCCCTAGTTTTGAAAGTTCTCATTATCCATCCTGTCATTTTTCTAGCAGATGCGACTGATACAATGTTATGGTCCTTGAAGGTGAGATCCTCCGACATGATCACTCCCAGGTCTTTGACGTTGGTGTTTCGCTCTATTTTGTGGCCAGAATTTGTTTTGTACTCTGATGAAGATTTAATTTCCTCGTGTTTACCATATCTGAGTAATTGAAATTTCTCATCGTTGAACTTCATATTGTTTTCTGCAGCCCACTGAAAGATTCGGTTGATGTCCGCCTGGAGCCTTGCAGTGTCTGCAATGGAAGACACTCATGCAGATTCGGGTGTCATCTGCAAAGGAAGACACGGTGCTGTGGCTGACATCCTTGTCTATTTCGGATATGAGGATGAAGAACAAGATGGGAGCAAGTACTGTGCCTTGTGGAACAGAGCTTTTCACCGTAGCTGCCTCGGACTTTACTCTTTTGACGACTACTCTCTGTGTTCTGTTAGTGAGGAAATTATAGATCCATCGACCGACTTTTCCTGTTATTCCTTTAGCACGCATTTTGTGCGCTATTACGCCATGGTCACACTTGTCGAAGGCTTTTGCAAAGTCTGTATATATTACATCTGCATTCTTTTTATCTTCTAGTGCATTTAGGACCTTGTCGTAGTGATCCAATAGTTGAGACAGACAGGAGCGACCTGTTATAAACCCATGTTGCCCTGGGTTGTGTAACTGATGGGTTTCTAGATGGGTGGTGATCTTGCTTCATAGGACCCTTTCAAAGATTTTTATGATATGGGATGTTAGTGTTATCGGTCTGTAGTGGGGCTATGTCTGTTGTTTTTAGTAACTGTAGGACGACCCCCGTGTCCATGCTCCCTCTCCATAGGATGGAAAAGGCTCGTGATAGGGGCTTCTTGCAGTTTTGATGAACACGGAGTTCCATGAGTCTGGCCCTGGGGCAGAGTGCATGGGCATGTCATTTATCGCCTGTTCGAAGTCATTTGGCGTCAGGATAACATCGGATAGGCTTGTGTTAACCAAATTTTGTGGCTCTCTCATAAAAGATTCGTTTTGATCTTCGACTCTCAGTCTGGTTAGCGGCTTGCTAAAAACTGAGTCATATTGGGACTTGAGTAGCTCACTCATTTCCTTGCTGTCATCTGTGTAGGACCCATCTTGTTTAAGTAGGGGCCCAATACTTCATGTTGTTCTCGACTTTGATTTGGCATAGGAGAAGAAATACTTTGGGTTTCTTTCGATTTCATTTATGGCTTTTAGTTCTTCCCGCGATTCCTGATTCCTATAAGATTCCTTTAGCTTGAGTTCGATGCTTGCTATTTCTCTGACCAGTGTCTCCCTACGCATTTCAGATATATTGACCTCTTTTAGCCGCTCTGTTATTCTTTTCCGTCGCCTGTAAAGGGAGAGCCTGTCTCTTTTTATTTTACATCTACTCCTCCTTTTTCTTAGAGGAATAAGCCTTGTGCATACATCGAGTGCCACCAAGTTAATCTGTTCTAGGCATACGTTGGGGTCTGTGTTGCTTAGTATATCTTCCCAGCTTATATCGGTTAGGACTTGGTTTACTTGGTCCCACTTTATGTTTTTGTTATTGAAGCTGAATTTGGTGAATGCTCCCTCGTGACTAGTCTCATTATGTCGGTCTGGGGCTCCACGCATACATGTCTGAACCTCAATTATGTTGTGATCTGAGTATATTGTTTTTTGATATGGTGGACATTTCTTATCAGATCATCATTGTTAGTGAAGATGAGGTCTAGTGTATTCTCCAGTCTAGTAGGCTCTATTATTTGCTGGTTTAAATTGAATTTTGTGCAGAGATTTAAAAGCTCGTGTGAGTGTGAGTTTTCATCAGAGCTGCCTCCTGGTGTTATTACTGCAACAATATTATTTGCTATATTCCTCCATTTTAGGTGCCTTAAGTTGAAATCCCCCAGGAGCAAGATGTTGGGTGCAGGAGCTGGAAGATTTTCCAGACAGTGGTCAATTTTTAACAGCTGTTCCTGGAATTGCTGGGATGTTTGCATCCGAGGCTTGTAGACTACCACAATGACTAGGTTTTGGTTCTCGACCCTTTACTGCTAAAACTTCCACTACATCATTTGAGGCATTTAGCAGTTCTGTGCAAACAAGTGACTCTGCAATGTACATGGTGAGGTGTTTCTTTTTCTCTGGGTCACCTTGCCTTGGTTGAAGACGGCCGAGGGTGTTGGAAAATATATATAATATATATATATATATATAAATATATAAAGATATATATATATATATATATATATATATATATAATATATATATATATATATATATATGATTCAAACAACCACGAGGGAGTTGAATGAAGTTGAAAGAAACAAAGACGAGTTTTTCCCCTGAACGTATTTGAACAATAAGAACATAAGAACGAAGGAACACTGCAGAAGGCCTACTGGCCCATGCGAAAGGCAGGTCCAAAGCCCTACCGGCTTAAGCAATGCACCCAACCTAGTCAGGTCAGGTCACATTGACTCAAAGGGAGGAAACACGGCAACCGACCCGTTAGCACAAGCTATCAGGTCTAACTCAACACCCACCCACATCACTCATGTATTTATCCAACCTA